TTTTTTTTTTTTTTTTTTTTTTTTTTAGAATTAGAATACGATGATTAATAAAAATTAAATTTTGATATGAATTATAAAGTTAAGTACCGCGCGCATTACAGCACGCCCGCGTTGGAAAATTGAAAACCATGCGTGTAAAATAAAATAAAATAAAATAATAGTAAAACAATAATAATAATAAAACAATAATTGATTAAGTATAAATGCGTATAAATGATATGAGAATAATTATGAAGTCCACACTAACGCGGTAGTCGCTTCGAAAGAGGACCGAGTGTAGATACCAAATATACACTGATCCTCTATGTCGTAACCACCATGGCTCATGCGTAACTCATTACAGGCGTAAGAAAAGGACAGAATCGCGTCACCGAGGTTAGCCAATAATTTCGTTTCCACGCCGGGTATGGACGTGGAGACACCTCGATTCATCTCATTCTGCCTATCTTTGTAAGAAAGAGCGGCAGTCATAGCCCGTAGACGGGTGGCGACGTAGGAATGATCGAGGTCAACAAATATGGCATTGTCAGGGAAACGCGTATTAGTATCAAAGGGTGGGGGTTGAGCTAACTCATCGAGGGCCTCAAGGGCAGCGTCGCGGTTAGCTTGCACGGCCATGTTCTTAAAAGCCATGGAGCGAAGCGTAGATTTAAAATTCCTGAAACTCACCCACCCGTGGACCTCGAATTCCATCGCCTGTGTGGTCCAACCGTACGGCATCACGTTAGATAAAATTAAAGCTATATAACAATGAGGATTAATAAATGTAAATTTCAATTTGTATAATTCAATGCGAACGAAATTAGGGAACGTCAATCCAGTGACACTTTTTATTTGTACTCTTTTTTTTATGTACGTATAAAATTATTTTTCATTATTAAAAAGTATTAATTATTATACATTATACATAATAATTATACATTCGACAAATAAATTTTCTACAAGCAAAGTAGTACTAATCATATAATCAATTATATGTATTGGCTATCATTTTAGAATTATAAAAATAGTGCTTTCATTCATTTTCTTGTAATTAATATATTAATACTAATGATTATAATAACTTTTATTTTTGTATTATCTAAAAATTTAAAGTTTTAAACTTACAATGTGAAAATATCAACAAAATGATAATTTTTTATTAGGAAAATTTTATTTCATTCAATTACAATACAATTTTGTGTTAGTAAAATAAAGTTATAACATATTTTCATATGTTATAACATAACAAAACGTATTTTAGACATAACTGACAATCATTTTCCAATCGTGCAATTATGGTGTGCCCATATCTGGTTTCAAGAGCTATCAGCTGTGTTACTGGCTATGGACGATCCATTTATAATGATGACATAAGGACATATTCATTTTTAGCTTGTGAATTAAGTTTTTTTACAACATTCATTTTACTAAAAATTTTTTTTTATTTAAAATGGTAAAAATTCTATTTAAATCATTTTGTAAAATACATACAAAATATATCTCGAAATTTTATTATTTTTTCATAATTAAAATATTATAAATAATCAATATTATTTACTCTTGTATTTTTAATTTGTTGTAAATTAATTTTAGATATGGTGAGATTTTCAAAATAGTTAACATCAATCAAAAGGTATGTGCAGTGAATATTACATTCGGAAAACAATATTGTTTTAGCTAATTCTTGCACGTCCCTAGCATGTTGAATTAATATAAATTCTTCGACTTTAAAAGAATCACGATTATAATAAAGGATATTGTTACATTGGAAATTTTCACTACTAATGATGTCTATTTCACAGTATAAAACTAAACCAATGTTCTTATTCAAAACGCCAATGGTATTTGTTCAATATAACCGGCTTCCTTCAACTCGTCCAATATAGCAGGGGTCGGGAACCTGCTGCTTCGGAGGGGCTTGCGGCTCTTTAACATGCAACCTGCGGCTCTTTGGATAATTATCAATATATCGATATCCGTAAAATATATATTATATTATACGTTATTATAACGATAATAATTCTGAATTTCTCAATAATTATCTATTAATCTTATCGCACAGATAGTTTTATTGTGTTTATAATATGTATGTGAGTGTTCTATCTATTTTATCTTTATTACATGGGTCGGGAATGTTTTCGTTGTTATTTATTAATCTTTATCGCATAATTAGCCTTATTGTGTATATAATATATATGTGTGTGTTCTATTAAACTCGACTATCATTATTCGGTAGAATACAAAATTATATTAGTCGATACGTGAGCACGGTCCTCGTTAGGAATTCAAACAGTGCGGCGTTGTTCGGTATTTTTTTCTTGTGCTTTTTTTCCAATAGAGGTATTTCTATAAACTTCAATATGTCTACAAACCAAAAACGTAAAATTGAAGAGGAAAATAGAGGATTTATAAGTGAGTGGACTGATACTTATGCATTTGTCCCGAACAACATGGGACAACCAAAATGTCTTATTTGTGGCGAAAACTTCAAAAACATGTTGTAAATAGGTGATAGTTTAGTAATTATAATAATTAATAACACCGTATTTAACTTTTACTTTGTAATATATTTTAACTTATTATACATAAGAATTTAAATAACAATATCAATTCCAAAAGGAAGTAACAAATGTCCAAAAACAAAAAATGATAATATGAATAGTAGTGAGTCTTGTTAGTGGTCGGCGGCCTGGACCGGTTCTCCTCACCCGCGGTCACTCGGCGTCGCGCGACCTGTCGGACGAGCTGTGTCGCAGTCGCCATCCAGCGGTAAAGCCGGAAGTGCAATGCGACCGCGTCAAACAATAAAAAATCTAATATTGTACGTCCTTTTTTATCCAAACACGATTCTTTTGGTAAGACGTACCCAGCTGGAAATAAAAGAAAAACAGCAGTGGGCGAGTTGATTCGTAAATCTCAACAATCGACATCTAAATTTAATAACTGGTTGCAGTCGGCGTCTAATTTGACTGCATCTAGTTTTGTTGTATCTCACGAAATCATGAAGTCTGGAAAACTGTTCACTGATGGAGAATATATTAAAAAATGTTTTATTGGTATGTCAGAACATCTCTTTACTGAATTTAAAAATAAAACAGAAAGAATCAATGAAATAAAGGATATTCCATTGTCGGCAACTACTGTTCGTGATAGAGCTGTTAGAATGGCTGAAAATGTCACAGAACAACAGTTTTCCGATCTGAAGTC